TTCAAGAACTCATCCTGAAGGCGGGATCCAGATCAAAATCATGACCGGATTACGAGGTTGAATCTGTTACAGAATTCTTTTTATCTTTCAACCCATTTTTTAGGAATTGAGCCAATCTGATCCGATCACATCAGAACAACGGGGCAACCCTGATGAAAATGTTCTATGATTTAAACGCTTTTCTACTTTCATACCTCTTGCAACCATGCATGTAGAGCTGATGAGCAACTTCTTTGCTGCTTAATACAGAAAACTTTGTTCCATATTAACCACAATTCATCTACAAGAGCAGTCAGATGTCACATCGTTTACTCCGATTAAAGGGTTCCTGGATACACTGAGGTTCTTTATGTTTATTTACAGTTTGTTGACATGCAGGTTCAACACAGCAAATCGAGCAAGGAGCCGGAGAACAACAGTGACAAGGAAGATTCGGCAGCAAAAAGACACACAAGTTGTATGGAAATAGTTCAGCTCCAGAAAGTTGAACAAAAACAGAAACTCCACCGGCAGCGTCTCACAACCATCAGATAAGGCTTCACAACTAGTTTGTTGGACCATTTAAATCAAAGCTCTGTATGAAGAAGCAAGCAATGATTTTGGAAGCCTCTGGGACAGGTTCCAGATGGCTTGTTTCTGGCTCTTTTTTAATTACGTTTGTCACTTTTCTATGCAGATGCACCCCTGTGTAGAATCATTCTACAACCATTAATTCTTTGCAAATGGAGTTGTCAAGTCAACTCGTCAAAGTACCTGCAGTTTTTGTTAAACAAAATATAGCAATGTCAGGTTTATTTTTTTAAATGAACCTGGTAGCTAAAGATTTAGATTGAGTGGAGAGGCTGCAGCAGCAGGATGAAGCACAGAACTTAAGGCCAGCAGTTGATATTTATGGAGAACAATAAATTATTTGCAGCTGAGTTGAAAATGTCACTGTAGCTATCCAGCATCCATGTGAGCTTCCCTTCAGACTTTAGCATTAATACTAATGAGCAGAGTGCATTAGCATGATCATGTTTGCAAATCCAACACCAGCAGCCTGCTTTTCAGGGAGATATGGAAGAAACCAACAAAACCACAGCAACAACCAGAGGAGGAAGAGAAACATCCACTGACACACAATGATCTACTGAAACATCAGAGCAAATATTTGGATACCATTAAAACAATAAGTAGCAGCACACACAGTAGTTGGAAGTGCAGCAGCCAACCTCACTGTGGCCACACAAACACCAGCACAGCAGAGTCAACTCACAACATGCATGTTCACACAAGCTGTTCTTACCTGTGAGAAGCGAAGCAGTTTCGTTCTCCAGCACATGGATCCGTTTTGTGTTTGGATCCGAAGCTGCGACCACAAACACGGCACGACGGCGCATCTGTGAGGCCCACAGCTCACCTGAGTCCAAAAGATCCTCGTTATTCCTCCAAAAAAAAAGTCCTCCTAACGTGATAGAACTGCTTTATAGGAGGCCTGGGTGCATCACAACACGCGGCATCCGTTGCAAACGCAGCGCTTGGTGGAGGGTTTTTACGCACGTTTACGCAGCGTGGTTTAGCAGCAGCGGCACTCAATTCAAGTTCAGATAAAAGTCAGGTTCTTCATGCATTGAATGTTTTTTTTTTCTATCAGGGGCAATGAGGGTGAATGGAATTTCTTTCAAAAAGCTGCTTACAAACATCTGAAAGCGTATGTTTTTCAGAAATAATTCAGAGTTTAAGTAAATAATCAGAATGAATAGATGTAGAAGCTGCAGTAATCAAATGTTGCTGGTAAATTTATTTTAATGTGAAAGTTTAAAACGTTTTTATTCAAAGCTTTGGCACAACAAGTAGAATACATTTGAAGGATGGACTGATTTGTTATTTCAGGGCTAATATCAGTCCAGATTTTTTTTTTTTTTTTAATTTGAAACTTAGAATAATGCAAACACCCAATTTAGTTGTAATATCTTCTTTTTTTTAACTTACATGTGTTTATTTAATAGATATTTTTAATATATATATATTTATTCCTCTGTTTTGATTGGCTATTACTTGTGATGCATAGCCAATCAGATAGCGCTGTAGGCGGGACATTGTTTGAGATAACCAATAGAGAGAGGCCACTGCTGCAACTTTAAAGTGACAGTTTTTTTTATAATGTTTTTGTTTTGTTTTTGTTTTTTTTTTAAATGAGGAATAAGTCAAAAAAGATGGATAACAACACCAATACTGGAGGAAAAAGGATGGATGTTGGATCCAACAACTGGCCAGGTTCATAATTAGTCCGCCTGTAATTAACTCCACCTCTAATTATTGAGGTTCATGCAAAAAAATATCAGAAAGTAAAATCTCTAAACCATTCTATTTAGATCTATATGTGTGGTTAGACACAAGTAGAAACAAGAATTTTTTTTAAATTTGTGCAGAACAACCCAAGTCATCTTTCTGGTCACAGGTAACAGTAAAAAAAAAAAATAGATTCATCTCTTGATTTAGAAGAGAGAAGAGTGTGCCAAAAATAAGAGAAGTAACTCCAAAGTTTATCTTAAGCCACCAAAACTCTGTTCTGCTACCATTCACAGATTATGTTTGTGTATAATTTGCTATTTAGATAACACAACCTTCAAACAGAAATAAAAGCCAAGCGCAAAAATGGGTGTTTTTTTTTGGTAAAATATATACTTTATTTATTTCTTCATACAAAGAAATATTATGAATGTTCAGTATTTAATCATCTAGAAACATCTGTTCCATTTTGCTCTTGCATTGTGTAAAATTAATTGCTTTGATGTACATACCACAAAATACTTGATTTACATGTCTTTTTCATTTTTTGTACATACAGATCTGCTAGTCTAGATACATATTATATGTGGATAAGACAAACATTTTCTAACATTTTTTTTAGATCTCAAAACAGGTTGAATAAAACTCAACCATAGCCGATGCAGCCACATGGAGGAAACCCATGAGTGCAAGTGTTTTTTTGTTTTTTTTTTCCTTTTTTATTTTATTTTTTTTTGTTCTTCAGATTTTCCCTCAGTTACATGAACTCGACCAGAACCGTAGTGCTCCATCAGTCTCGGGGAAAATGTCTGACTTTCCTTCCAGAATGTGACAGCTTGCTTCGAGAGGTCATCATAAATGCGTTTCTTTTTTTTTTTAATATATATAATCAAACATTGCACTAAGGAGAGAAGGGGGGATGAAGGCTTTTTTCTCTTTTTTCCACACACACTCTTACGAGGAGAGTGAAAGTAAAAGATAGCAATACAAAAACAATTACACAGTGTACCAAGCCTCCATCTCCCCTGCTAGCAACCATTGGTTTGAGGCGAAACCAGGCAGCTGGTTTGAACTGGGAAAACAAAAGAAGTAAGCTGAATTCGAACCTGTTTTTAATGACAGGAGCAGGCGGATAGTTGAAAAGAGGCACAACATTTTCTTAACTTCAAAAAAGGACAGACAGAAAATTCATTAAGTGGCAGATCTGACCTTTTTTTTTTTTTTTTAAAAACTGATTTTGAGGGACTCTGCGTGTGAGGATATGTTGTGTACATTCAGTCTGAGCTCTGCATAAACACATGGACGCTAATAATCCCCAGTACGCCTGCATTTCCCTAATGGGCCGCCACACTGAGCATGCATAGCATAGCTTGGCGCAGCATGGCATGGCCGCCGCCCTGTGCCCGTATGGTAGCGCGCCACCCGCTGCAAAGACATCACATCAAAGAATGATAACTACACATTTTCTCCCTCTTGCATATCAAGAATTCAAGTAGAAAGACAAAAAAAAAACAAAACTAAGAAGCAATGCAGGGAAAAGAAGGAGGGGGGGGTGAAAAGCAGAGATAATGACTAAGCTGTGAGAAACATGATATCAACCCAAAGGTTTTTTTTCTTTTTCTTTTTGGCAACAAGTGGAGAGTTAAGATCTGTTGTGAAGAGGTGAGATGTGAGGAAAGTGAATAAGGCATAAAGTATATAGGCCATAGACAATGGCACATGAGGTTTTTCTGATGACACCAGAGGTTAGAAACCCTGCCTGAGGCAATTCTTGCTGTGCTGCGAGTGCTTCACAAAAACCTTTCCTGTTCCTTTGATCTCTTTAGTCGGGGATGTGAGATTTGGAGCCTGGTGGACTTCTGTTTGAAGAAGCGCCTTTTGTCAGTGAGGCGAAACCTTGTTTGTCTGTCATCTTTTTTAATCTTTATGCTCGATTTCTGGTAGATATGCATCTGCTACCTCACGCAAAGGTTTTTTCTTCCATCTCACCGTGAAAACAAGGCACACACTCCTCCTCCTCCTCCTCCCAGCTCGGCTCTACCTCACAAATCAAATGCCTCTCCAGGAAATGTATTTGAGACTTTGCGTGACCTTTGAACTGATCGGATAGGGCAAGAGGCTGGCTCCCAGCCAACACTGCTTCTAATGGGGGGGAGTTAAGAGAGCCGAGGCTCCAATCGATCTGCCGGTTACCTTTACCCGATTAGCATAATGTTAACATGGGCCCTTATGTGGTCCGGGATAGGATTTAACATTTGATGGATGGGTCATTCATTAGAGCAGGCAGCGGGAGCGCTGAGAATGAAAGGGCAGCTGTATGCTTTAAGCATGAGTGACACAATGAAGATCAATTAGGCCTATAGATCTACCTGTTATTGAGTGGAATGGGACACGAGATCTGCCGCTTGGGCCGACGCCGGCACAGGAAAAACTGGATTGTAAAAACACCGTATAAAAAGAATCACACTCAGAAAGGGTTCGAAGATGGATGAAGGTAAAGTCGTGACGCATGTATAAATGAGGATGGATGGATGTTCTCCGCTTCTCTGTGAGCACTCTGTACCCGTAATATGGTGCTTCACCCTCCCACCCCCCAGTCTCTGCTTCAGCTGATTATCTGCATTGTGAAGCACCAGTAAATCCACTGAGTTTACAGGACCACCAGGAAGGAGCATTTCAACAATTAAAATGAGGAATGTTAAAAAAAAAAAAAAAACACAACACGTAGGTCAGATGTTATGTACAAATATGGTTAGGCAGCTTAGTGAATTAATTGCTTAGAAATAAAAATAAATTATTATAAAATAGATTTCTGTACATTTTACATATATATAGCAATATCTCCACATCTTGCCATTGAATTACAGAGGAACAAAAAAAAACAACTTCTCAACAAATTAACAAAAAAAAAAGTCAGATTTTTCACATCAATCCCAACCAAAGTTATGTCCAGTCATCTGGTAGAACTTCATGTTGAAGGGCCGGTAGAAGTCCCGTAGCCTCTGCACCACCTCGGGGTCAATGTTCGGATGGGTGCGCCCTTTGGTTTTTCCCAGGCAGTGAGGCTTGCTGCTGCCCTCCGCTTTCTTCAGGCACGGGAATCCCTTGGTCTGGTTAAAGTAAAAGTGTTTGTCCGTGATGATCCTCTTGAGGCCCAGGAAGTCCTGCACTCGGCCCAGCTCGCCGGCCGGGTCGCTGATCAGACGCTCGCCGCTCACGAACAAGATCTGGTCCATGGGGAAGTACTGCAGCCAGTTGTCCAGGTGCTTGGCGTAGATGCCAATCTGGATGGCGCTCCACGACGTGTCGATGAGCCCCGTAGTCCTGTTTTTAAAGGTGAGGCTCTCAAAAGAGGGAATGTCGGGCTTCTTAGACAGCGTCTGCGTGTAGTCCGAGATGGCTCTGGTGACCGGGTCCCTCACCACCACGATTAGCTTGGTGTCCCGGGACATGGCGGAGATCCTCGCCGGAGCCTCTCTGGTCACAAAGTAGCTGGGGGTTTTCTCCATGGTGATCTGGCCCTCCAGAGTCTTCGGCATCAGCTCCCTGCAGGAAGGGGGGAAAAAAAAGAAACAGAAAGAAGGTTAGGAGAAGGGTAAGGTCTTGCATAATGTAATCAAGTTGATGGAGTGTTCGCTGCTCTGCAATCAATGACTCACTGAGCCTGTTTAGCCTTATTAGAGGGCTTGAAAACCTATTAGTGCAGGCAGCTCTCCAACATCAACAAGCTCACTCACTCATAAGATGTCTCATTTCTTTTTTTTTTGGTCTTTGTGCCTTTATTGGATAGTGCAGTAAGAGATAGACAGTGGGAGGGGAGGATGTCCATGAGCGGGATTCAAACACATGACCTCCACATCAGGACTGTAGCCCTGCACATGGGATGCCAGCCCAACCAGGTGAGCTATAGCGGCACCCAAGATATCTCATTTCTGACAAAGAACTGAAATCCCCTTATTTACTGCATTATCAAACACGAGGAAACATTTACAGGAATTTCAGTCGGGATTCAGACCTTCTCCCTTCGACTCCTTGATAACTTAAACTTGCTCCTTAATAATTTCCATTGTGAATAATTTTGATAAGCCTCACTAAGCATTTTTTTCCCCCCAAATTAACTCACAGCATGTGTGAATTCCATTATCTGATGTGTCTTTCCTATTCTTCAAACCTCACTGCTGGATGTAATGTTCCAAAGTGGTCGGACTTAATAAAAATAAAAAAAGAACACCCTCCCTCTGGATACCACCAGATCTGCCTTGCTGACTCAGGCATAGCTGTGCCACGGTGCCCCGCATCCCCCCCACCCTACAATCGGACCCACACAAAAAAAATTAAAAATGCACCAGCGCTGAAAGATGATGAGGCTTGTTTCAGAAAGGGAATCTGTTTTTTGACATGAGCGGGGGTTTGGGGTTTTCGGGTGAAGGCTGGCGGATGGGCTTGTTGCAGATACAGACGTATAATCAAGAGGTTCTTGAGAACAACTGGTTTTTGAAGGGGAAAAGCGCTCCACTCTCTCAGCATTAGGTTTCAGAATTGGTGGCCGACCGCAGAGTCTAGATTATGGTGGAGGCGATAAGAGTGGTTTGAGTGACATTGAAACGTGGATCGTCTTTCCAGAAAAGCGGCCTGCGCAGTGTAAAGGGGAACAAAGTGGTTCAAATTATGGACAGCCGAATCAAAAAGACAATCGCCGACAATCAAGGCTATAAAAAAATACAAGGGACACTCCAGGAAGCAGCAGTAAATGGGCAGTTTGAAGCTTTAAAGGGGGAAAACAAACAAAGCTACATGGAGATAAGTGAGGGCACTGATCTATGACAGTGAACACACTCCTACAGATAAGATTGTTGTGTGCCTGTTGTTCCCTAAAGCTCGCCTTTGTTGTTAAGGCACTGATACGCCATTGTATAGACAGTACTCCCACTCAAATACTCCGTAATCCTACACAGGGTGTTTACACAAGGCAAACTACGATGCCGGACACGTTCTGTACACTGTAATAATCGATTCCCTTCCCAGAGCTTCAGCTACTGCTCAGAAATACGCTCTAAAAGCTCAAATCTAGTTCATGTCCATCTAGCTCATGGTTTATTCATACGACATCAGCTCGTATTCCTGTGCAAGAATTTCCCCATAAAAACAGGGACTTGGGAGGGAGGGGGAAAAAAAAGAGGAGAGACCCAGGGTAATGTCAGGTAACCAATAAAAATGCCTTATGGAAATGGTGTTGGCAGATTGGTGTAATCCTAATGCAGTGCCAGTGATCTAATTATGATAATATCATCTTGATTGCTGACACATCAGAGCAAAGCAAAGGCTTGCTTCCAAAAGTTCATTAATAGCCCATTGGAATCAAAACAGATACTGCATGTGGTTTTTACGCACTAGCATGACAGATCCAGCGAAGTACTTCTGGAGATATGAACGCAAACAAGGCGAAAAAATGATGTGCCACAATTTAAAAGTGTTTAGCGCCACTCGAATGTGTTCAAGGAATATAAACCAAACATGCTGGACTTAAACTGCATGCCATTCTCCATGTGGACAATGGTGACGCTGCCTGCGAGGTTTTTTTTTCTTTTTGTCGCTCCTTGTGCTAACATACAAAAAGAGTCCAAGAGCCAAACAGAAGAGGCAAACAGCTCCCCATCTAATCCGATTTCAACATGACAATGTGGCACAGCGATAGGGAGGAGGCCTGAGTTACAATGTGCATAGTGATAGATTATGCTGATCCAAGCTCCGGGAATCCAAAATCAAGTGTTGGGGGTTGTGGGAGCGTAAAAACAAGGGGATGGTCAGACATTGAAAAAGAGAAAAAAAAAAGATGCTACTGAAAAGCATCAAATCCACACGAAGAGGCCCCCGGCTAATAAAAAAATCTCCACCTCTGACTTTGCCCACTCTCCCTGCCAAAAAAAAACCAAGGCAGGAAGGGAGAAAAGAGGGGAATTTTAGTGGGACAAGTAGCTCTTGGAGAAACAATGGCTATTATGCTCTTTTTTGATTTATGAGGTGCTGCTTTTAAAGATTCCGTCAGCAAACAGGCAATTGGGTGACACCGGGCTCCTCTTTTTTCCTGCTTTTCTTTGAAAGTGAGCCATTGTCCCTGGGCAGAGGGGTGAGCGGGGCAGTGGTCAGGGCAGAGGGGGGCGGGGTTGGGGGCAGGGCAAGAGGGAGAGCAGATAGAGGAGGGTGGAGGGGTTGAGTGGAGCACTTCTCCATCCTCCTCAACCTCGAGTGAGAGAAGCCTTTTGGAGGGCTCTTAAGTGGAACGTGTGCCCAAATTGCCCCGCAAACATCAACCCGGTCCGCCTTCAGATAGCAGCAGCTCCACAAATATCACGACACAAAGCTGCTTCTTCATGTGATATATCTTTTTTTTTTCCCCCTCTGTGCCTCTCTGCACCTTCAAGAATATTTCCAAAGTTGAAAGACATGCCAGAAACCGTGATAAGACAGAAAGCAGAAGCCTCACGCTGTCACATGACAGCATCAAACGGAGGCCGGCGGAGTTGGACCTTTGGCCCTAGCGTTTTTAAAAGAGCCCCTCATCCCGCCGGAGCTACACGGCAAGCAGGAAAAAGGGGTTATTTCTGTCTGATGCCGCTGCCTCCCCTCCTGTCACGTTTGATTTGATGATAACGGGCTGCCGCTAAGCCGTCGTTGTCAAAGCATCCCTGACAAAATGACTACTTTTGCTGGTAGACAAAAGGAACCAAAAAAAAAAAAAGAAAAAGCAATTTGGCATGCGGTTTTTATATTTGATACAAAAGGTTTGCAATTGTCTCACATGTCTGGATGTGGAAAGCATTTGAATCTCAAATTAGGGTTTGTGTATTTGAATACAGACAAATCAGAGGACATTTTGTATCCACCAGCAAAGGGAGGGTGGGGTTTTGCTATCAAGGGCATTTAAAGCCAAAGTGTTCTGGTTTCTATGGTTTGGAGACCCATGGGAGGTAACACCACCCAGAACAACAACTGAACTGAGCTCTATGTAGGTCCTGACTGAACAAACCAAGACAAGACAATGAAACTAACTGCCTGCTTCTGGGAAATCACATTCACGAGCAACACTTAAACCGCAGATTCCACTCCACTCTTCACCCGGCTCGCCTTCCCCACTGATCTACAAGGTTCACTCGACCCCGCAGCGATCAGGGATTGAAGTCCGATAGCAAAGTGACACTTCACAAGTAGGAAGAAGGAGAGGGAGGAAATGAGGGAAGAGGCACTGAAAGGCTCCCTTTCTTCTTCAAGGGCCTCTTACCCTGCGAGCCCTTCTCATGAACCAAGCACAGTGGACGTACGAGCATTTTCAGGAAAACACAAAGAAACATCTTTATTCCGTGTTGCTCGATAAGGATCTGGAGCACCCACTTGTTCGTGCGCGGCGTTCCGAATTTGAGAACGTGCAAAATGCATTCATTCAATGTTTCACAAGATGTGATACCGCGATGGTTCAGGAGCAGATGATAGATGATACAGGCACATATGGAAGTTGTGTGTTTGATTTTGAAGGCCTAATACTATAAAACGGAGCTGCATTAAGCAACATGTTTATGTAACACACACATACCAACACACATTCACTACTACTAAAGGGAGGATGGCATGCAAGCCTCTGCTGGCTCATGGAATATTTTCAAAGTAGCATTTAGGCACATGCAGAAGCCAGACATTTTGAAATATACTCCAGTGTGCCTGGAGTCTGACATTATATTTAACCACAGAGCATGGCTCTGGCTGTAAATTAAAAAGAATAAAGAAGACGGTTTATGGCACAGAGAGGGAGACGAGCTCCGACTAGAGTTACAGGGGCTTCATCTGTTCTCTCTTTCAAGCACTTGAAGTGGAGTCCAGGTGTTAGTATGTGGCCACTTAGAGCTTTTTGACAGTTCATTTCCTGGCTGAGAAGAGCCAGAGATCCCTGCTTAAAAAAGTGAGATGTCGCAAGGAGTGCATGCTGGGGGTCTGAGCGTCTATCTGTATCTCACGTGTCTACGGTTTCATGTCAAAAAAAATGACGGAAAATATGCGCACCTTCGCGATTGACGAAGTCTCCATGCGTGCACTCTCACCTGCTTGCAACACGATGCCTAAAAAGTGGTGAACCGTAAGTGATGCTACAGACTCATCAGCCTGATCAGACTGAGGTTTCAGATTATCAGGTTTCACTGAATAATGGTGTCACTGCAGGAAGGTGGCAGAGTGGAAGCCCCTCCAAATCATCTGTCTGCTGAAAAGGATTAATAATGCAGACTGGCCTGCTATCTCTGCTTGGGATGGGTGCAGATAGAAGGAGGCGAGGTAAACTCCTCCTGCAGATTAGTGGGAATGCTGGTGTCAGAAGTGTTTGTCAGTATGAAAGGAGCTACTGTAGACTACTTTCTTCTAGAATCTGTGCAACTGAATTAAGTTTATCCAAATTGCTTTAAGAAGGCACATTAATGCCACTGGTTTAAGTCAAATGTACAGTTTGCACTGCTGCAACTTCATTTTAAGGAAAGTCACCTTGGAGTTTACAATTTTCCAAC